CAAATACGAAAGGAAAAAGTAGTTTTAAAATACGAGAAAAACCGCTATAACGTTATAAACCTCACTATTACGGTGATTGAGGATATACAGCGGGTTTAGTCATGTCCCCCAAAATGACTTCATTTATTTTCACTATTAACAACTTTTCAAATATTGACTCGACTATTTTTTCTAAAGAGGCAGATTCAAGAGGTAGATTAAAGATTGCAGTATATTTTCTCCAAAATCAATTTCGCTTCAAACTTTAAAGGGAACTGTTTTCTATCAAAACAGCTTGATTCGAATTTACTGCAACAGGCTGCTGGCGCAGCGGTGTCGCAAACAAATTACTGCGTCTTGCATCCCTAGGATTACTCCATGTGTCAATACACGTGACTTTTAAAGACTCCCTACATTGTCTCATGTTTCTACCACTCGTACTGTTTGCTGAACATATGGGTTGGCAACCAATGGTTCGCTATCAGCTGAAACTTTTCTTCACGAGACAAATTTGGCTCTAAATAAATATTATCAATAGTTCATTGTTATATTAGTATTGCGCTAATGTATTAACTATAGATGAAAGCAGCTTTGCAATTTAATCTTTCATACCGTCTACGCTGCAACAACGACTTCCATGCAATTGCGCAGGTCTGCCTGCCTATCAAAGAGACGAATCAGCTTGAGACCCATAAATTAGGTGTAACAGATAGCAGTAAGTGATAAACTGGTTGAAAAGACAGTGATAGTGATCATCTTCCTGTATTGCATTAAGAAAATATTAAAACGTATCCAACAAAGAAACGCTATCAGCTATTGCGTCAAAAACAATACTGGACTTTAAAAAAACGATGATCAGATCAAGAATAAATTTCTTCCACTTTAACGTTATTTTTATCGCATTTTGCAATAAATTAGCGCTTTCACGTAAAAAATTTCTTCTCCACGGACGTACGGCTGGTTGTGGATAATGGAGCTATTTACAATATTTTCCAAACCAGGATTATAAAACTTCACTGCAGTTCTAACATTGATACTTTAAATTAGATGTTGTTATCCAAAACCAAAAAACCTCAAATCGAAAAAGCATATACAGCCTCCTATGATACTGGACTAAAAATATGGCTAGAAAAATAAAAGAATATCTAATCACTGTAACGAGTGGAACCCAAATGAGTGTTCCTTCTAGAGCAGAAACTAGCAACATACAAAAAAGGGGAAATATCTTAAGATCAAGAAATTTATCGAGTAAAACTATGCTATAATAAAAAAAACATGAAACAACACTTCTAACAACGACTGCATATAAGCAGGTGGATAAGCAATCTTCCGCCTCAGCTTTCATCAAAAGGAGTTTCGCGTTAATCGGGTGACATTTATATTTTAGTCGGAATGATATTTTTTATATATAGAACGATAAATATTTTAATCAGCAGTTTACTGTTGTAGTATAATATTGCATTTAACTAACATCTAGTATTTAACAGGAGAATCAAATTAGCTTCAGCGTGAAATATGTAGCAAAAGATTGATTACCAGAATTGTAAATAAGCTTGTGAATAGCCGATTGCCGTTTCAGCATTTCTTGACCAATCAGCGTCGAACCGAGCAGATTTTCACAAAGATTTGTTTCTGCGCTGGAAGTAACCGCTCTTTCCTCGAAATTGGAGAAAACTGCCGAGTCGAGAGTCGATGAAGACTGAGAGCGGGTTTCTGGGAAGGAATAAGTTGCGGACGCGTTCAATGGTGAAGACGAAGTAGACGGTTGAGAGGCAGTGACGGGTGATGCTACGAACAAAGGAGGAAAGAAAGTCCTTCTCTCGTTTTGAGGGGGTGGTGGTGGTTTCAGCCTCTGCTTTATTTTTACCACTGTCGAGTGGGTCTGTCCTTCTGGTTGAAAACGTCTAGCAGTCTCTGCATTTGCCTCGTTCTGCGAAGCTCCGTAACGGGAAAGCGAGCTTGAGCAGCTGCTAGAAGCGATGTTCGATCCTCCACGCACTGAAGGTTCAACGCCGAAGAAAATGCCTGATGGTGAAATAACTTTGGCCAGACTTGTCCTAGGTGCCGGCAAAGGCTTACAGGTTACGATGCCATTAGCCAAATCACGCTTCCACATGCTCAAGTCAGAATGATGGTTCATTTCGCTACTGTCATCAATGCGAATGTTCGAAGTATCTGAAATCGAAGTACAAGTAAATTGATGGGGCAACTAGTCAGGTATGGCGAATACATAGAAACAGCAAAGCTAAACACAGCAAATCAATACAACAAGCAGTGTACGTTCACTTTTAAGAATATAAATTCAAAGCAGGGGAAATGAAAAGTCAAACGGGATTCGTCAGACCTGAGAATGAAAGCATCAAATAACTACAGATATGGTGCAAGACGTTTGAAAATCATGGGTGCAAAATGAAACGAATTTATCCGCAGGCCTAAAATGAAGTTCATTTGATAACTTATGCAGAAATATAAATCACTGTGGAAACCTTAACATCGCAACAGTTGCAGATGTTGAACTCAAATGCACGTTATTACAATTGTAAGTGATTCAGCCTCACACGCTGAAGCTTCATTAAACGACTTATGTTTCAGCACGAATTAAGCTGACAAACTTCATCACTTCAACGCTGAGGTAATTGCATAGGTAATCCGAAGCAACTCGCAACACTTAAATAAGCCAGTTGCGAAGTATAACGTCAGAGACGAAAGCCTGAAACTTGGCGTACTGCTGCTCTTACCGCTACTCAGCCAGCTTACTCGTGTAACAATCATCGAAACATAAGAAATAACAAAACAAAGCTGGATTTATACTATCTGCATTAATTGTGGAGTAAACGTTAACTGAAAAAAAAGAAACAGCGTCAACAGAAAAAAATGATCATTACTCATAACTCCAAAATCGAACCATGTCAATCTTAGGGAACGTTGACAAAATCAAACATGACGTGACCAAGACAGACAAATGACCAGACACAAAGAGAATGCGGATGAAATTCCACCATCATGGTAGAACACACGATAAAAGACTGTCACGTCATTGACTGAAAAAACAAAAAAGGTGTTGGAGCAAAAGAAACGACCGGAAACAAAAATTAAAAAAGCGCTCTTGAAACAAATATGCAAATGCATAAACAGAGACAACAACAAAGCCCTGCCATTAATCTGGAGAAAACAACTGAGCAGGTGACGAAGACCAAGACTGAACTAAAGTTCGTACGAGCGACTCATTGATGATATTTTCATAATATGATAACTTCACAGGAAGCAGTTGCACTGCTTTGCTATTATTGCTATTAATCCAGCTCGGGAAACCTTCCTTTATAAAATTTATATGCAGAGTAAGCCCTTTGGAGGTTTAAGAAATGAACAGGCTTAGCACAAATTTTAACACAATTGATACTGGCGTTCTTTCGTTGAATCAATTCCCATTCATCCACAACATAATCCCATAAAAAGGAAGAACACAACATCTAAGTATCACGAAATTGTTCAAATATTAAATTTTTCTTTCTACAATAAGTTAGCACTTTAAAGCGGTTGACACAACTGAAATTTGTTATGAAGATACCAACATTTCAGACGAAACTTTTTCTTTATCTGTTTTCGCTCAATGAATAATAAATTCTCACTAATATAAAATTTCTCACTGCTCATATAAGTAAAGATGAAGAAAAGCACAGTCTCATTACTATAAAAAGGGACTGCCGTGGCAGCACTTCAAAAGCAACTTACGGCAATAAAACACTCATACACGCAGTGCGCCTCATCACAGTATTTACCAGTAGCATAAAATTTTACAGCATGATCAGTGATAAGTTCATTCATTCATTTTCAATGACCGTTGTCCCCTTTGTGCCGCAGAAGGAGTTGATTCAAGATTCAAGTTTTCGACAGGGCCCTTTCCTTGCTAACCGGGTAAGCTGAATGGCATGAACTCTAAGACGACATGGCCAGATGATCAATACAATCGAACCAGTGTGATACACAGTTTGCCTTGCGATTCTAAATTGTAGCATAATGATTATATTTCCAAACCACAGCAACTGCTGTAACTCGATCGGAAGCAAAACAGTTCACAAGGGAGGACTTCTCAGATCGTTAGGCACTTGTCGATCCTAATGGCTTCAGACATCGTTAAAATACCCATAATTTCTGAGGCCTGAATTCCATACTGCACTGTTTCAATCAAAATTCCGCATTCCCACTGCCGCTGATAAATAACGTTAAAAAATATACACCGAAATATAAATTTAACACTGAAAATTCTTATTTTATCTGCCCTGCTCGCATACTGATGCAGCCAAAGTACCAAAAGGCAATACAAAAACTCTCCTAATCATCACGACAAGCATAGGTCCATAGTTGCTCAAAACTACTCACCGACGAACTCGACGGCTGTACAATTGCCGTAGACGTCGACGACCACCCACATCGGCCGAGAAGTGTCGATGCCGCTCAAAAACAATCCCTTCGTCTTGCCGTTCACCCCATAGAACATCTCGCCCTCCTGGTTGATGAAAAAATGAAACTGATTGTTCTGTTCACAGTACCTCTCGCTAATCGCCTTCACCCAGTTGCCTTGCTTATTGGTTAAGTCCGGACAAGCGTATCTAAAATTACAGTTAAAAAACTATTACATAAAAATAACGATAACCAAACACTCAAAACCTGACATTAAATACTGCATAAGGAATTAATCACTTTCCACGAAAATGCAGGTGTAAATTAGGAAACTAACAATTAATTTTTATTACTAGTGCCAGGGAACAATCCAAAAGGAGCTAAGGAATGTTGCTTTTATTCCATTTCCAGAAACAGTTTTTAAGCGATCGTCCAATTCTTTCATCGATCTCGAATAAGAGTCATTATCTAATGCTCAATGGGTAGGCGGCATGAATTGAAAAAACAATATCCACCGTGCTTTCGTCGGAGACTAATAGGTATAATGACTAAAGTACTTCTGCCGCGGTCAAAAGTCAGTATACAATTTTAAGATATAAAAGAAAGTCTTAAAAGACTTATGGATTATTTTCGACCTTAGTAATCACCACCTCCTTAGCCCAATGATAACCATTTATTTTCATTATCAGAGAAAAGGATGAAGTTGAAAGAATTAATCATGATATTATTAACCAATTCTGGAAGGTCTTATTAATCACTTATTCTCTCTCTCTCAATGATTTTAGATAGCACAAGAAAAAATAAGTCAAAAAGAGCATATGTTTAATAAAGCATTTTGTTAAAACTGAGGATATAAAAATGCTGTACAAAATATACTACCCTTCAATTAAGCAGAATCACTCGGCTTTAAACATTAGGACAAAAATGTTCTGTATATATTCTCATGTGCCTTTATATCTACCACTATAAATTTAATCTCTGAATGACGCTGGACAAAACCACTAAAGACTTGGGCATGAATGGAACACCGAATAAACGGCTAAATCAGAAGACCGTCAGAGGACCGCGACATAAATGAAATCAGCTATTACCTGCCACTGTCGGTCTATCACATCACATCACATGAATCATCACAACTGTAAGCTAACATACTCTCTATGAAAAAATAACAAATTATAAATAATCTATACCTAAAGTACATGCAACCATTGCAACATCTGACAGTAACGATATCTATAGAACAATGCTCCAAACTAAATGAAATACTTTGGCAGATCCTGCTGAATCTTCACCGGATCGTGAATCGTAATCCCAACACGAAGAACCCCGCTCCAGCGGTTGCTCGTTTCGAAGATCTTCATGCAAAAGATTTCGTTCACTTCCACTGCTCGATTGCTGAACGCTAACGCCTAAACGTATTGGAATTAAAGAAAGATTAAAAGTACATTACGATGTAATATAACAAATAATTACCGGACGAAGAGCATATTTTATCGACTATAAGATAACATATGACGTATTACTGTACAACAGTCTTTAACAATGATAAAACTACAGTATACCACACTAGATCATACTCTTGCACATTAGAACATTGAACACTATAAAGAAGAAGCGGTGTACAAGTAAGCATAAGATATGCTGTCATGCAGTTTCATATATAATGCAACATGTATTACGATCAAATAAAATGCGTCACGGGCAGGCACAGCAAATGAGATTATCACCTAGTACTGTACAAAAGAATGTCCAGCGTTTCACTACTATATCTCAGTGACGCTTGAAACACTAAACTATTTGTAAGGGCAACATCTGAGTACAATTTCAAAAAATCACTTATGTATGCTCCGATATAACATACTCACAAAATATACATAGGCGTAGATACAATATATTTATGTTGTTCGTCATAACTACAAACGATTATAGCACAGAGACGCAGTGGAAACTAACAGCTTTTTCAGCGGAAAATAAATTTCGATCATTATAAATATAATTTACATAATGCACTACATCGCAACATAGGTGATACACATGATCATATTACAGTACAACATACCGCTGCACAGTATATCACTACGCAAAATAACGTAGCCGCAGGAAACACTCTCTACCACCTACCTTACAAAATGAATCAGCACGACGTGCAACCTTCTTATTTCGGCAGAGCTTGATGTTGTCGCCATGAACAGCGTGAAATTCGAGGGCAGGTCGACCGGTCGAGGAAGACGAGGCGGCAAAGGTGCATACGTCAGGTGATGACACCAGGTCGGTGGAGAAAGCGCTGCTACTGGCTAAAAATTCTAAAAATTGCCAATTAAGTCAAAAATTAAGTCAGACTGACTAAAAACATTCTGTTGTTTTGCAAGAAAAAATATCACATTCAAGCTGAAATCTGCATTAAGATTTAACTCTGAATTATTCATCTTCACGTAAAACGAAGCACAGTCAATGAGGAGTAAAACGTAAAATCGTTTTTATCGTAACGTGACAAAAATAGCTATGATAAAAAACTTAAAGCACAAGTACAAATAATATTCAGCCAGGAACTCCAAAAGCAGGTACCATGCAAGATTCTTATTCAGTATGAATCAATTCTGAAAAACTGGGCTGTTAAAATGCTGCTCGTGATAATGATAACAGTACCCTACTATCAGCCCGTGTCGGTTTAATGACAGATGAAGGCCTTTATAAGATGAAGCCATAACCTTCTATTTTCTATTTGCACCCATCTTGATATAGCAAATTTCTTCAGCTCACCCTGCCATAGATCTAAAGGCTTTCCCAAGGGCAGCTGGTTACAGTTTCTTTGAACCCAGTTTGTGTCTGATCCAGAGATAGTTTTTTCTACTTCAGGTATGTTCTCCTGTTGCCACTTCAGCCTTATCACTTGGGAAGTCGAAGATTCTTCACTGTACACTTGCCCATTCATTTCTTGATATTCGAAACATATACCCTCCTTCTTCCGCTGCGAAATCTGCAGTACATGAATGGCTTTTAGACTTGGGATCCATGTTTCACACTCATAAATAAGCACTGGGAAAACACAATAATCAAACAGTTATAGTTTAAAGCACAAGGAAAATTTCGTGGATAGGATAATTTAAATATCTTCTGAAAGTGCTCCATGTTACTTCTGTTCTTATGTTGAGTTCGAAATGACTCTGTTAAAAAATGAACTATGCGGGTTCGCGCATTTGTCAAACATGACCTGAGTCCTCTTCGGGCATAGATTTAGGATCCCAGTCCTACTTTGATGCTGCTGTCGTTTAGTTCCTTGCATATGTTCGTTCGGTAACCTTGAGATCAGAATATCTGCAGACCATGTGGTGTAAGTATAAGGGGCATATATGTTCATCAGCTGATTTTCGTTACGGAGTTCTGTCATCAGAACTTCTTCTAGAGTTGCTGTGAATAACTTTATGATACTGCCTCCTCGTTGGAAACACGTTTCGATTTTCAAGCTGCTGCGGTGAAGTCTCGCATTGGCAGTATAATATGGGTAGGCAGAATAAGCTTGTGAAATGGCTTGGGTAATAAGTTGGCATACGTCGTATCTAAAAGACTTCTATGCACATATGCAATATGCCTAAGGGCTCTCACTGTATC